TTGTGTACACTTAGCATTATTCTAGTTATAAAATCACGATACTGAAAAGGCAAAATGATCCAAATTGTATACAGTACCACAAATTGATAGAATCGCGAGAGGATCACTATAAGATACAGTACAAGTGTAGAATTTGAAAGCGAACGATTTGGCGTTGGCTTCCATAATATCTCTTCGATGAATAACGGATAATAGCACAACTAGTGAAATGCTTTGATGTTCAAAATGTCCTTCCACAAAAAACAATCTTGCTACATGTACACCTGTCTTTATATCGTGGCTTGCCGAATTTACGTTTGGCATGATCGCAGACCACCTTTTACATCACATATTTAATCTAATTTATAAAATAAAACTGTCACATCATCCATTGTCAACCAAGTGATAAAAGGGAGATGTACAAAGAACTTTATCCCACCAAAAAAAACCCTTGCTGTGAACCTTAACACAACAGATCAAAACTTATTTTTAACTTATTATTTTTTATTTTATCTAGTAATTCCTTTGTTCTTACAATTTAATTTGATTTTAATATTTTAAATTATTATTTGTAGGATCTTACAAAATTACGGTCCGATCCTAGCAACCTTTGTTGGGAGTAAGGGAATGCAAAGTATAAATATGAAACTCAAATACCTATATACAGACTAAGAGAAATGATCTACTTATGTTGAAGACATGACACATAACTGTTGCTTAGCATAATTCTGATTTAAGAAATAGATTCCTGAAGTCCTTTCAAAGAAAGCAAGCATACGTCCAAAAGAGTTCCTATGCCGCAGGAAAGAGTAGAGCAAGAGATGAAAAACCTATGCTACACTTGTAACTGATGAACAGGATTACATTTTTTACCTTACATCGATTAAGTAAGTTTATGTTGAGTTTATCGTTAGTTTGTTCTCATGTGCGTAGGACCAAAGTGAGTTGATCACGCAACAGTTGTCTCCTCTAAGCTGCTGATATCTTCGACTAACTCGGCTTTTGGTTCCAAATCTATGAACTGGTTCGACTTGCTAGCTAGGAGTGAGATGCTGACCCTACCCTCACGCTTTATATAATCAGCGACAGCTTTCATTTCTTCCAGTGAGATGTATATGTACTTTCCTCTATCATCCATCACCCCAGACAGTCTTCCTGATAAAGACACAATCACATTTTTAGTACTTGCCAGAATAAGAAAGAAAAGCTTAATGTTTACTTGTATATCTCCTGCATATTTTCACAATACATGGAGCAATGTACCCAGAGGGGTGTCTAGAAAAGTCTTTAGGTAAAATTATAGAGGCTAGGATACACATATCCAAGGACTTGAAACTTAGGGGTCGTGCATTTCAGCCAGCCACCGGTGTTCAATAATAAGCCATACAGAAGATGGAACAGATTATGGATCAACATCGGTTAAAATTTCTTTCGACTGATAGAACCTCATCTGGATAAAATTTGCACATGTACTTAATATTCCTGATCCTTGTGAACAATTTTGCTAATCTCATTATAATTCATTACTATGCTTTAGTATCTGTGATCAAACCTTACTTTTGGTGATTAAAACCTTGAACTATTAGTTCAAACCCTTTTTAAGTCAAAATATAACCTCATCACTAAGTGATTAAAATATCATGCTGTATTTTTGGACTAATATGCACAAACATCGAACTGCTATCGGTTGAGAAGATACAATTGCTACAAAATGTAGGGCATGATACCAGAAGGGAACAAAATCGTACCCATATTTTCTAATGAGGTTATCCGATTGATACAATCCTGCATCAACCAAAATCCATATTGCATGAGAATGGGAGCTACCAAAGATTAATATAGTAGTAAAAAATCCAACAAAGAGTAAGATGTTGGTGCAATTTTGAAATAAATACAAATGTGAACATTTTACGTCCGTCCATCCTTGACAAGGAAAATAATTCCGTTACCCAAATCAGATCACCTAATCTCTACTGTAGACACTGAGAGAAGGATGAGAAAAGGCACGTAGGAGCTACCTGAGTTCGTAACTTAAATTCTGCAGCAATATCTTCCAGAGGAACGCATTTGTGCTTCTGCAATAAAATGGAAAATATTAAGATCATAACCACATTAGCAGCTCCTCTTTCAGTCCATATGTTATTATTAGATTGGAATTGCCGAAAACATAAGGCCCTTTTTCAATGTGTATATCACGTCTTTGAAAAGCTGAATTAATAAATCATGTACCACAGAGATATTAAAGAGAGACAACTTCTTAGCCATGGAACAGGGAAACTTGATATCCAGATGATAAAAAAATTTCACACTAGCGTAATTAAGCATATAGAAAATATAGTTTTGAACAGAAAAATAACCGAGGTCCCACTGAATTTACCTTGATGTATTCCACGAAATCAAAGAGCAAACCCTGGTTTCCATCTTGCACCTCATTTTCTGTTGTACCTTCAGCATCAATTGAAAATTCCCCTTTCCACTTGTCAAACTCCAAGGCAGCAGCTGCTTCTTCTTCAGCTTTTCGAGCTTTGGCTTCTTCTTCCTAGATAAATTATATCCACATCTTTTAATGGGCCATATAACAGTCCAATACTTCAAAAATATACAAGAAATATATGTCAACCAACCAGCATCCTCTCTCGAGCTTCATGCTCTTCATCCTTCTTCCTCCTCATCTCATCGTAATGGTCTTGTTTTGTTCGCCTTGACTCACGAGAAGCCTCTGCGACCTTTAAAAACAGTCATAAAGATATATAAGTGACACTCCCAAAATAGAAAAATAAATAGGAGATTCATATGACACCCATTGACTGAAAAATGATTTTTTTTTTTTTAAATGTTAG